GATTCAGTCTCGAGTTGTGTAGACTCCAGGCCAGTGAATTCCGTTCTATGCATACAACCACCAGACATCGACGAGACGGAGCTTCGTCTGCCTTGGGAGACTAGAACCACAATAGCCCAACTTCGCTGTGGCTACTGCAGCAGGTTAAACTCATACCTAAACAGATTAGATGCAGATGTGCCAAATGAATGTCCGGCATGCGAAGAGATACCCCACGACTCGATACATCTCTTCGTATGCCCGGATAACCCCACGCAACTAATGCCTCTGTTCCTGTGGACAGACCCTATAGAGGCTGCACGCTTCTTGGGTATTATGTTAGTTGAGCTTGACGACAACGACTGAGATACCAACCGATCTGGGCGGAGTTGTTGCAGCCGCTAAAACAACTTTGGAAAAGAACTCAGGCTTGTAGACTTATAAAAACTATGTGTAATTCATACGATAGGAAACCTACTTATTTCCTAATATAAACAAGAAAATCAGACTCGAGGTTTCTGACACGATTGCTAACAGGGCATTGTTTGCTAGCAGACCCATGGATTTAAATTAAGTCTTATAGATGGCAAAAACTATAGGAAGCGTAACTATGTAAGTTTCACGAGGAAACCGTGGAGCATATAATTTGCGATTGTCCAGCCTTCAGCAGGTAAATACTCGCGTTACTCGGCTAGGTACGGCTGCAGAGCCCACAGTCAGCAATCGACAAAGGACCAAAGTGTCTATTAAAATTTGCTAAAGGAACGGAAATGTTCTTTGAAATTGCGTGACAGCATTGATTCATAGGTCGTAAACGTATCTGGTAACGCTATTGACGTTATACTCGTTTATGTGAGACCTAGTATGCCAGCATAACCTTACCCAACCTGCTTTAGACTGGATGGAGAAAAAATAAAAAAAATAAAATTATGGGGTGTACTACTTAATCCACCAAGTTTGTACGAATTTCTAGCTTAAACACGCCCTTAAACAGCCAAAATTGTGTTTTTCTTAAAACTCTCAGCCTTTTTTATATGTACAACGTGATTTAAGATTGCGCCTTGTTGAAAAGGTATTTTTAAGTGACCTGTAAAAGGCACAAGGAGCAAATTTTTAAACCAATATAAAATAAAATAAAATTTAGCTCCAAATCAGCAAAATTATAACTTGGGTCCTGAATAAATATATATAAATTAAATTGAGGTTTCATGACCAGTGTTGCCAAACATGGACTTTTCCTACCAAACCTGGTAGGTTTTTTTTCCATTTAGTAGGTTGGTAGGCTAGATTCGATTTTGGTAGGTTTCGCGACAATAATAGCTATTTGCGAAAAATATAAAATATGTATGTATATCCATACATTTTAGAAACCTTGTTTGCAGGAATATTTCACCGGTGCCTTCGTATAACGGCCACCGTAAAAGTGTAAGTTCGTAAGTACAATATTGCCAATATACAATATGTACAGTGACGAGCAAAACTGTAACATGGAGTAACACCTTTTCTTTCAGCTGTCGCTATCTTTCCAAGTTCTAACGACATTCATACTGTTGTTCTGTATTTTTATTGGTACATCTTTGCTTCCTCTGTCATAACGATTTGAAGTCAATTCAACAACATTAAAGAAACCAGCAGACAAAAATGTAAATTAAGGCATATGTTACAGTTTTGCACTCATGTATTTTTAATAACTTTTTGACAATTTTCACAAAAAAAAAGAATTAATAACACAATGTTCAGTATGGTTTTGCTTTATTTAGTTTCTGGTTGCAATTTGGCATACCTAATGTGCATGTCTGTAAAAATTCTGGAGGTATAGCCTCCCATATATCCATGGTTTGCTTTCACAGCTCACGTACTCCATTGGACGGACTTGGATACTTAGTAAGATGCGCTTTTAGTTGATTTCGCAAATTCTCGATGAGATTCATGTCCTCGAATTGTGGAGGTCATTTCAAATTAGCAAATTTCTGCTTTTGTTCCAGTCTTTGCGAACATGTGCAGTGTGTTTTGGTTGCTTTTTCAGCAGAAACTCTAATTTTTTCGACTACATCTTGCAAATTTTGTTGAAATATGAACAGATACTGTTCCTTACGCATAATACGTACAAACGGATCAACAACATTTTTGAAATACAACCCCAAACTAATATTGACCGACCACTGTGATTCACAGTTTGCCTTACATGATGCGCTTAGGCTTAATTTGGGCCTTTGTTCCAATACCATGCCCGGCCATCTGCTTAAAAGCTATTAATTTAGTCTTGTCAGACCACATAAGCCTCAATTAAATCTTAAAAATGTGTTTTTTATTGCGTTATGTAAGGCCTAACATATCCCAATAGGCAACGGTCCGGTTTTCGCGCGATGCAGCAAAACGCTGCCCCACTCGCACATGTATTTTGATCAAATTTGCTTTTTTCTTCTTTTATGATCCATTTCGCCCAATTTGGCAACTTTTCGCCCCACTATCTACTGATTTGCATTCAATTTTAATACCTTAAGCGCTTCTGTAGTAGTGCCTACAGCGTTACTTGCTACTAAGTTCACAAGATATCGGACTGAAATATATTTTGACAGACTTCCTTTGTCCTTAGTAACACTTTAGGCTATATTTTTTCTCAGTCTTAACATTTTCATGTGGCAAACTCCACATTTTTTTGCCACTTTCCCTACGGTCCCGCCTTGTCGCAGTAAATCTATTATTTACATTTATGTTTCCTGATTAACCATATTATTTATTGGTGATCACTTCTTGAATAAATTATAATACAGAAAAAAGTCATCTGACTTCCAACTAAGCAAAAGATAACTGTAAAATGCAAAACTGAGAATGAGTGCAAAACTGTAACATTTGCCTTAACTTTCATTTTTGTCTCCAGGTTTTTTTATTGTTGTTGGATTGACCTCAAATCGTTATGAGAGCGGGAGTAGGGATGTACCAATAAGAATATAGAACAAAAGTGTGAAAGTCGTTAGAACTATGAAAGATAGCGGTGGCTGAAATAAAAAGTGTAAGTTCGTAAGTACAATATTGCCAATATACAAGTATGTACATCCAAGGTATATACTCAACGTGTCTGCATTACAGGCATTCCTCCTTTGTCTATTCTGTTTGAAAAATAGGCCTGCTGGAGCGCCTTACGATTGCCCAATATGATCAGCAAGAAAATTGTAGATCTTCGGGGTCACTTGGATGTTCTAAATGCATTCCTGGATAATCACAAGCTAACCTTCTACGAACCCTACACGGTCTGAATTCCTGAAAAAGACTTGTGAAGTGATAACAACTATGGTGGACGAAGGGTCCCAAGTATGGTATAACGATGGATCAAAGGTATACGACGATAGTACTAAGCCAGACGTATTTGGACCAAGATTCAGGAAAACTATAACTACAACAACTATATTCCAGGCTGAAGCCTTCGTTATCGAGGTCTGTTTAGAAGAACAAATGGGGCCAAAATGAATATAATGTGGGATAGTCAGGCCTTAGACTCTTTTTAAACGGCATCAGACTTGTAAACAATTGTAAAACTCTCTTGAACCACTTGGATGCCCAAAACAGCTTAATGCTTGTGGTGGGTTCTGGGACATGAAGGGTTTAAAGGCAACGAAAGGACTGGCTGTATCCAAAGCCTGGAGCCCAAATGCGCTTCCATGATCCATAGCCTTTTGTGAGCTGGTTTAGGAAACCCCAGAGTATATTCTATGTGACTGCCAACGTATCATGAATGGCAGACTGAGCGCGTTTTAGTTTTACTAAATGTTATATTATATACATTTTTATTAAACTTGGCATTGGATAAACAATTTAAAAACTTCAAATATTTTTGGTAGGTTTTGGTTGGTCTAGGTAGGAAAAAAAATTGTTCGTGGCAACACTGTTCACGACATCAAAAACTTATCTAAGAAAGTTTTCAATTTAGAGGGTAGCAGGTCTAATGTATGTATAGGTGTGAACCGGTGTTATTTACTCACCTGCTATGCAGTTTCAATTCTAGAATGTTGACGCTTTTTTAGGATTTGCATTTCTGGGCCGCTGTAGCCTGGTGGTTNTGTTGACAAACAGCTATCGTATTGATGACAAAATGCTGTACTCTAATTGCCATTGCCGATACTTCATGGTCTGCTAATTTACAGGTGTTACTTCCAAGCCGATCTAAATAAAATACGCCACTTATCAAAGCGCTGAGAGCGGAGGAAGGCTCGCTTAGATAGGAAATGTTTACATTAAGAACGGTTTACATAGAGCACATATTTATTTACTTATATACATACGTAAACACCGTAAACTAGCGTTAAATGAAGAAGTTTGCTTTGTCATAAATCTTTCCTTTATGACTCAAGCAAAGTCGATAGTTTCTTTTTCTATTCCATTTATCTAGCACCAACTAAATACCTAGAGCGGCAGCAAAGTACAACAATGAAGTAAAAAAATATATATATAAAATATTTGTTGACGAAGTGCATTTGAGGAATATCATAAATGTGTCTTATTACCCGAAAATTCGATAAGAAGGCTGCGACTTCTGAAGACTAGGTACGTGACAACATATGGAGTTGTAGCGCGAGAAACAGAAAAGAAAAACAGAGAAAGAAATCAATTGGAAATAAAACCCAAAAAAATATTGATTTTGATAAAAATTTGACCAGGCTCTGGAATGATTTTTTTTTGTTACTTCTAATAGTTGGAGTGTATGGCGTAGTACTTTAAAAAATTTCCAATATTAATTGCAACAGAGCAGCCACTGTTCATAAATTGTTTGATTTCAGTGATAAAATCATGCTTTTGCCACGAAATCGATTTCTGATTTTTATGTCGGTAACATGCTTACTATTCGGCTTCTGCTGCTTAACAGCGACGGTTGGTTCGTCAGGCAAAGCAAAGTAAATCTTATCAAATTGTGCCCCTATAATTTTGGCAACAATACATTTTTTTATAATTATTGTATATCTATAAATATTTATTTAACTATATTTATGTATACTTTTTTCCACAGCACAAATCAATCAATCAAAAGTTAATGCAAAACAAATACAACAAACCAAACAGCAGTTTACTGTAAAAAATCTTAGCAAATAAATTAAAATAAGTGCTGAGTAAATAAAGAACAGCGAAAAAATTTGGAAGCGAAAAAAAAAACAAAAAACATGAAAATAAAAATAACAAAATGTGCACACTTGAACGCGCAAGTGAACTAAATAAATACAAATAAGTAAAGAAATTGCTCTGTGGTAGTGCCAATTGAGTGCGTCCACAAAAACATTGGCTCCAGCCCCGTTGTGGTAATCAATACAATACATACATACATAGATTTTTCTTCGCCCTCGTCGTTCACATAAAAACCTTCAAAATTATTCTCGAAATGGATATGACTTCAACAGCGGAAGCTGCCGCCCGCAGCTGGTATGATAATCCGCGTTTGGGCAGCTCTCCGCAAGCGAATGGCCTGGGCGGCGCCGGCGCCGGCTTGGGACATCACGCCCTCACAGCCGCTGGCACCACAGCGATGGGTGGTGGCGCTGGCCTCGGCGGCGGCGGCGGTGGTGGTGGCGGCGGTCTTGGCGGCTTGGATACGACCGATATGAGCGCCTTCTATGCGTTGGAGAGTAATGGCCATCATAGACGCTACTATCCGAGCTATCATCAGCACAGTAAGTGAAATATTAATTAGTATGGTTCTTTTAATATAACAGCTTTTTTATGTGTACATTCTTATATTTATTGAAAGTAATTAAATTAATTTATTTATTTTTATTTTAAAGTAAAATTTTAATTTTTATTATTCGTACAACTTTTAATTCTATTACATAATATCGAAAAAGTTTTAGTTTTCCGAATAACAAAAATAAGAACTTCTTCAAAAATAATGAATTTTAAGACTGTTTAGAATATATATTTGACTTGTTCGGTATGAAAAATTTTAATTTTTTTTTTCAAGAATAAAAAAATATTTATTTCTATCCTACTCGGTGTTTAACTACATATATAAAACGTCAATGTCCTAGAAGAAAATTTTCTATGCGTATTTGTGGTTACTGAAGATATAAAAGAATGTAATATCCTTACTGATATTATAAATCCGAAAGTGAGTTTGTTTATTTGTTACGCTTCCACGCTTTAATTACTTATCCGATTCCCATTAAATTTTGTACACTGGTGCCATTTAGCCCAACTTAAAANATCTTATATTTATTGAAAGTAATTAAATTAATTTATTTATTTTTATTTTAAAGTAAAATTTTAATTTTTACTTATTCGTACAACTTTTAATTCTATTACATAATATCAAAAAAGTTTTAGTTTTCCGAATAACAAAAACTAAGAACTTCTTCAAAAATAATGAATTTTAAGACTGTTTAGAATATATATTTCACTTGTTCGGTATGACAAATTTTTATTTTTTTTTTCAAGAATAAAAAAATATTTATTTCTATCGTCAATTAGCCCAACTTAAAATATAGGATAGATTTAATCTCGATTAAACGATCGATTAATCCCATAAAACGGAATTTTCATACCGCATATCATATCTCAGAAAATATCTTTGATAGAGTACAGGAACTGGGTATATATACATATATGTATATAAAATCAATTCCATAGTCATAGAGGAGGGCTGCCACCTGTTTGGAAAATCTAATTCGACTTGCATTAAGGGAATTATTTATTTAAANCTTTGATAGAGTACAGGAACTGGGTATATATACATACATATATGTATATAAAACTAATTCCATAGTCATAGAGGAGGGCTGCCAGCTGTTTGGAAAATCTAATTCGACTTGCATTAAGGGAATTATTTATTTAAAAATTATATTAAAGAACGGATGACAAGAGGCCTTAAAAATTTGTAGTTTGAAAGTATTTTGGAAAGAATTGCCACCTATTCGTAAAGCCAAATTTAAATTAATTATTCGCAAGCTATCTGAAAAATTAATATATGCGTGTCAAATGACCAAAATTAAATTCATTTAATTTAAATGAATTACTTACAATATGGGTATCAATAGAAAGGTTTTTAATAAGGGTTTTAGTTCTAAACTACATGCATAGAGTTTTAGTAGGAAAATATTTCGAAGAGGATTGCCACCTGTTTTAAAAATCGAGTTTATGTTAGAAATGTTCAGCTTGAACATGTAGAATTTTTTGAGGTTTTTGAGGAGGTTTGCCCTATTTGAAATGTAAATTCAAATNGGAGAGTTGCCACCTGTTTAAAAATCAAATTCTTCTTAAATTAAAGAAATTTGATAATTGGAATATGTATCACAATAAGGATGTCAGACAAGAGGGTTTTAATAGAGTTTTAGTAGGAAAATATTTCGAAGAGGATTGCCACCTGTTTTAAAAATCGAGTTTATGTTAGAAATGTTCAGCTTGAACATGTAGAATTTTTTGAGGTTTTTGAGGAGGTTTGCCCTATTTGAAATGTAAATTCAAATACAATTATATTATAAGTTTAATGAGTTATTACAATCTAGGTTTTAATCGGAAGAGTCTTGAAAAGGCCTTATTTCTAAGCAACATATATGGGGCCGTCGGCCGCTGTGGTGTAGCGGTAAGCAGCATGAAAAACAGCTTCTCATAAAAATACAATCGCCGTTCGGAGTCGGCGTAAAACTGTAGGTCCCTCNTCCACATTTTTAAAAGTTCAAATTCAACTTGAATTATAGGAATTAACGGTTTAAAAAGTAAATTTCAAAATGTAAAAAATTTAACGTCTTCTGTTTTTTCCATATTTTAAGTATGTTGAGTTTAATTAAAATAAATTACACCTANGGCTCCACATTTTTAAAAGTTCAAATTCAATTTGAATTATAGGAACTAACGGTTTAAAAAGTAAATTTCAAAATGTAAAAATTTAAAGTCTTCTGATTTTTCCATATTTTAAGTATGTTGAGTTTAATTAAAATAAATTACACCTAATGTAGCACGTAGAAATTCCATATACTCAGCGAAGCGAGTGAGAGCCATCTAGTACATACATATATAAAATAACACTCAAATTCATAAATAATAAAGCAGACTTTAACAGCTTTAAATCCAAATTTTTTATAAAAACGTCACTTAAAAAATCTTTTTAAACCTATTTTATTTTTTATGAATAAGGCCATAAATTTATAGCATATAGAGATCATTCTTGTAGAAAAGACAAAAACTCGTTTATCTGTTCAATATAAATGCGTAGACGAAATTCACATACATATGAGACCGAGGAATCATATAGAATATTTTAATGGATATAAGATTCTACGCTGCCTTCCAAACGAATCCACTTTCTTTTGCGAAATTCGATACACATGCCCTCAAAATTTTTTCCTTTTGACCTACATAAATAAAATGTATGTAAACATAGTTTTATTGCTGTGGGATGACCATAACCCGTGCCAACCAAAGTTAACGGAAGTTACAGACTAGGAGCTTCAGCTGGATCGAAAAAGCTGCGTAACTCTGGCGCAATTAAGGTCTGAAAGCAAAAAGTGGTTATGCATATCGAATTTCTCAGAAAAAAACGCACTCCTTATCTTGTGGAACACCCTAGTACATGAAATATATGTATTTCTGTACCAAAATAAGCAATATAAACGCGTATGCAATAAGTATTTTATGTGTATATTATTCGCTTTGATTAATGTACATACATATGTAGGTATGCATGTATTTATATTTATAATCATGCAATGCNACGCACTCCTTATCTTGTGGAACACCCTAGTACATGAAATATATGTATTTCTGTACAAATAAGCAATATAAACGCGTATGCAATAAGTATTTTATGTGTATATTATTCGCTTTGATTTATGTACATACATACATATGTAGGTATGCATGTATTTATATTTATAATCATGCAATGCAAACTAACTCATTATGGGCGCAATCCTAATGAGTTTTTAATGGCATTAGCGGTGGTGGTGGTGTCGACAATGATGGAAGCGCCGCTGCGTGGAAAACGCGCCCGCACCGATTTCGACCTCGACGACACGGCCTACTTGCTACAAGTGCAAGCATGTATGCATAAATATATGTGCATGTATATTTGCATAACTTTATTGGCAGGAAGGTCGATGTGGATATGCATATGTATGGTATGTACATTAGACCGTACCAGAAAAAAGTGCGCTGTGCAACCATACGTCTAAAATATTTTTTTTATATCTGCGGACTTTACAGTCGGATCTTAAAGTACGATATATTGATGACCTTGTCCCGAAGAGAAACATTTTTTTTACCAAAGTTCATTGATAGCCCCTTCTAATATTTACCCATAAGATCTCATTTCTTATTCCCTCAACGTTCCAACCTAATGTCCGTAAATTAAAATTAATATTATTATTGTTAGAATTTTGCTACCTCTACCCACATATCCTAGCATACTATGTATGTAAATACATTAGCGTGCATCACTCTCCACACAAAAAAATTGGTACTGTTTTAATATATGTATGTATTTTAAGACTTTGGACAAAATATTTCGGAAAAACATTAGGACTTACGCCAGCTGGACCCTTTTGAATATACAGCCGAAAATCGATAATAAAATTAATTTATAAAAATATTTTTTTTCCAAAAGCGCACCGTAGATGATAGAAGAGGTTAATCTCAATAGATCCACATAAAAATGTTTAAACATTTTGTTAACGGAATCAAAAAAAAAAAAAATTATATTTTTGTAGATACATATGTTCAAACGGCGTAGCTCACGTAAATCTTAATATTTTTCCAGCATATTTTGGCGGATGTCGTAAAATATTATAAGTTTTATAATTCCGGTGGAAAAATCACCACTTTTTATTGAGGCACCCTGATGATTATACATACATTCATACTTATGCACAAAACTTCAATCGATATGTTAACGCCTATATATTTTTATGTACTAGTTCTTTATGAGGTCTCGCCTTACTTAGATTTATTCACGGAATTCTTCGCATTTCTCGTGGCCTCCTTTTTCAGTGTTTTGTTTTCTATAAATTTATTGGTTAGCTATTCATTATTTTTATATACAAAATAATATATCTACTAAATATATATATATGTATCTATTTATGTACATATGTATCAGGGGACTAATAGTTATATATAAATATGTATATGTGTATATTTGTGTAGTTTATTGGTTGCAAAACACAAATCATCAACATTTCCCACATGCACGTATGTGTGTGTGTGTATATGACACTGTATGTATGTATGTACATATGTGAGTTGGTATATAGAGGAGCATACAAACAAAAAGTTTTTCTTTTTTCTCCTATTATTTTTTTAGTTTTGTTTTCATTTTAATGGCGTTTTTGTGTGACTTGAGTTTTGCGGCCAGCAACCACTATAAAAAAATGTTTTGTTTAGAATGCATGTTGTTGTTATTGGTATTGACGCCATTATTGTGCCATCAAGCGCATGCTATTAGATACATATGCACATTAGGGTGTCTCTAAAATGCATGTGAAAAAGTAAAATCATAATTTTTATGCTCTCACCTACTAGGATTGGTCTATGCCGAAAAATATACCCCTATTTTTTTATTGTGAAATCAAAAAATATTTACAGGTCGCCAAAGCCCAAATTTTCCATGTATTTTAAATCGAAAAAAAACTTTTCGTAAATATGGCATAGAATTCTTAAAAATCAATATTTTTCTATCGGAGAA